CCAACGTGCAACGGTGTCTGTAGTAGCAGGTGAGTGTGATCTAGTAGAAATCAGGAACAGAGCTGTATTCTCCGGGTCCCGCCAGGGCTCCGTCCTAGCGATGAGAGATCGAAAAGAATTCAAAGGGGAAAACTCCGGAAGATCCTGGTAATGTCCTACATAGATATCCTTTGTCATAGGTTTAGATCCCCCATGAGCTACCGAGATCTTGTGTTCCTTCGGGTTAACTACCTTCAACACTATGCCGTGAGCTGTAGGCTTGGCTGAGGTGATGTCGATACGTGACAGATCGGAAGGACGGCTAGCAGTGGAAATTGCTAATAGAAAGGCAGTCTTCTGGAGCAGCCGGAGGACAGGCATCTCATCGTTATCATCGAAGGATCTTATTAGGTCAAAGGAGGGGGTCAGATCTACGAGCTCATCAGCGGAGGGGGGAGGAGGGTTTCTCTTATAAACTCCTCTCATAGCTTCCGAAATAGTAGGGTGCGAACCGATTGGAGAATTGTCAATCCAATCGTGAATCTCGCTAATTGCTGACCTGTAACCCGCGATCATATTGAATGCCATTCCCGCCTCCAGTTGATCATTAAGAAATTCGACTATGCTACAGATAGGGCAAGCAACGGGATCGATGTCCCTCTCGTTGCACCAATCGACCCATTTCTTGATGTTAGACGAAATCGTTCGGGAAGTCTTCTTGTCGCAAGCTGCGATACAGAGTTTAATAGCCTTCTGCGAAAATCCTTTTGCCTCAAGCCTTTGCCTGATATGCGCGCTACGCATATCCTCCACTTCTTTACTCGGCAAAATTGTGAGGCGTCTCCTGTCGGGTATATAGAACCCTGAGGGAGGAGAATTGGGGGAGTAACGATCATTGACAAGAGAAGGGGAAACCACGGTGCTGACGTCCACAGAGGAAATGCCAGAATTAATTCCGTCTCCTCTCTTCTCACCTTGGCTAAAACCTTGGGGAGAATTATCCAAGGTGGGTTGGCCCAGCATCTCCATCCGCTCCATGGTATAGAAAACGCGTTCGTCGCGACTGCTAACGGATCCCTCTTCCAGGATACGAATGCTGTCGTAAGCCTGTTCGTTCTGGTTGCGAAGAGATCCAGATTGCATTTCCCCAAAATGTGTTGTATCGCTCTGAATGTCTGGTGGGAGATCGACCATCCGTGTCTGTCGTTCTTCTCTCTCGATGCCCAGTCTGCTAGTACATTGGTGCTGCCCGCGATATGTTCTGCTGACAGCGATATCTTGCGCTTCAGGCACATTTCCCAGATTTGTTCCGCTAGGAGACTTATCTTGGGTGAAAAGATCCCTCCCTGATTGTTCAAGTAAGCCACCGTCGTCGTGTTGTCGCTCCTTATGAGGATTGGTTGGTCTCTCAAGTGACTCCAGGTGAGAAGCGCTTTCTTTACCGCTGTGAGCTCCAGGAAGTTTATGTGTGCGTTGGTGAGATCCTTCTTCCATCGACCAGAGACCGGTTGTCCATCTAAAACTGCGCCCCATCCTGTCTTGGAAGCGTCGGTGTAAATTATCGTAGACAGATTTTCCACGATTATACTCCTTCCGTTCCAGCTCTTGAGTTCCTCTATCCACCTCATCAGCTGATATTTGCTCTCCTGCAACAGAGACGTCGTGGCTTGCCAGCCCTTGTCTCTTATTGCTCTGTTTTTGTCCCTCAAGAGAGCTCGCGAAAACAGTCTTGCTGGAAAGACCGCGTTGATCGTTGCATTTAGCTTTCCTAGAAGTGCTGCCAACTTGCGAACGTGGATCACGTCTTTCCTCAGTATGGCTTGGCACTCCCTGACGATCTCCTTGACCTTTCTGGCTGGTATCGATAGGGAAAGAGTCGTCGAGTCTATGTTGAACCCCAAAAACTCTATGGATGTTGCGGGTCTGAGGATTGACTTTTCTCTGTTGAGAATGAAGCCTACTTGTTCGAGAAGCCCATAGGCCCTCCGAGTATGTTCTCGAGCCTCCCTCTTCGAACTGGCTATTATCAGAATGTCGTCTAGGTACACGACTAATCTGATTCCCGCTGCCCTCAGGGTGCTCACAACTGGTTTGAGGATCTTCGTGAAAATCCTGGGACTCGCTGTTAACCCAAAGGGTAATGCCTTGAACGCATAACGCGAACCGAGGAAATCGAAGGCGAAAAACCTGCAAGCCTGTGGGTGGAGGGGGACGTGGTAAAAGGCGTTCTTTATGTCTATCTTGGTAAAGAAATCCCCTTTCTTTACCAGGGAACTCAGAAGCGAGATATTTTCCATCTTGAAATGCTCATGGGAAACGAACTCGTTTAACTTTCTCAGATCTATGACCGGACGAAAATCTCCTGACTTCTTTGGTACTAGAAAAAGTCTTGACACAAAGCAAGGTTCGTTGGGAGGTAAAGGAAAAATAATGCCTTGTTCCAACAGCGACGAAATTTCCGAACTTAACGCATCTACTTCCCAGGATTTGTAAGTTGAGTATGATATGGTCTGAATTCTTAACGGTGGTTGATCTGACCATGTGGGTGAATAACCTTCTTTCAAAAGTCGGACCACCCAAGCATTGTCGAACATCTTGGCCCAGGTAAGGTAGAAGTTCTTTAGCCTTGCTCCTACTCTGCTGGTTATTGATCGTTCTGTCGTGACTGGTGCTGGGGGTCCGAGTGACGAAAATCCTGGTTTCTTTGTCCGAAGCCTGAATTTTTCTTGTAACCCTTATTTTGTTTGCCCTTGTAACCTTGGGGCTTCTGTTTGAAACCTCTTGAAAACGATTGCGAGCATTGCTTCTGCCATTGCGCGTCGTTAAAGAACTTGTTAATCTCGTTCTCTTCTGAGATAACTTGTTTGAGTTTGTCGCCGAAAAAAGTTTCAGACTCGGGCCTAGGCTGATGGTGTGGGTTAATGCACTTGATCGCCTGGTCCCATCTGTGTTCCCCGACGTATGACAAGGAATCGAGAAGAAGCGTCCTAGAGGCGAGGAGCGTCGACTCGATGTGTGACCATGTTTCCGAAGCTTCCCGGTTGTCTTGAGGAGGCTTGCAATCGTACAAGGTCTTGATAGCGAAGTCCAAAGGCCTAAGGACCGCAGAAGTACGATAGGAAATCTTGGAGAGGACCTTGTCCACTTCCTTAGCTTGTTTGGACATTCGTCGAGAAAGTTTCTTGTCCATCGCGGGAGGGGAAAACCTGATGAGTTTATTCTGTGGGAAGGATTGTAGGAGCTTCTGTCTATCCTCTGTGGGCAACAAAGCGTCCTTAAAGATCTTGGACGGCAGCTTTTCCATCTCTCCTGATGGTATGAAAGTCGCTCCGTACGCAAAATCGAACTCTTCGTCGGACGACTGAACATTATCTTCTACGTTCTCTTGATTAGGGTCTGCTGACATAAAGGAGGAAGATTAACAGGATGTACCTTGATTTCTTTCTTTGTCCTAAATTGTTTATGCTTCTTATTTTTATTTTTTAGGCGTTGCTAAAAAGTCGCGAACTGCGAACCAAAATAAAACGGCCTAGTTCGAGAGGGTCGATGCGTCACACATATATATAGGTACAGATAGCGTGTGTGATTGATTCATGATGTAATTTGCGTTGCGCCACATGTTGGCAAGAACCAATAAAACAGGCCAAGTCATCTGATCTGAGTTTTACTTACCGAACGATATTCATTTTGCATCTTCCTATTTTGCTAATTCTTATGAATAGTGGTGTTATCGTTATGTTATTACTCGTTAACTAAAAAAAAAAAAAATTAGACGTAAAGTGTTGATCGCAATATTTGATTCGAAGTAATGGAGGTAATAACGGCTCGTAATACTGTATTTTTGGAAATTTTGCTAGTTCGTTAAATTAGCTAATTTAAGTATTGTATATACAGGAAATGAATTGGCAATAAAATTTGTTACAATAAATGAAGGCGTTTATTGTAAATACATGTACTGTATATTTTTGGGAAAGTTTATGGCAACAAATTTCTTTTTCGCGATATGCGTCATGCAAATATCATGCTATAATTTCGGCGCGACGCGGCACAAATCCGAAATTATTAGCTAGACGAATTAAATAACGTATTTACTGTACACTCATAGTTTCGAATTTATAAAAAGGCGGAGGATGATAAATGGTTTTTTTAATAATACAACATACGTACATGATATACTTATTATTAATGATTGTATTTATTTGTTGTTTTTAATTATATAGTAAATTTTGTTATTTCATGTATCTTCTTTTTAATTTAACTTGATTTATTATTATGATATTTTTTTTTTTTTTGCATTTTTACAAAGATAATTATAGAACGAGATGTCCGGTCAATAAAGGATTTTGACCAAATTATAAAAAAAAACATTGTATTTTTAGATAATGGAAATACCGGAATTGAGTGGTCAATGATATAAAATAGAACGGGGAACGGTCATGATTCTTGTATCGCACGATGCTTATTTGGTAATTGTATTCGATTAAATAAAAATAAAAGGATTTCATTGATCTGGTCATTTTGTCATTTTGTCATTTTCATTCATTCATTCATTCGTTCTTGTATTTATTATACTAAATTTTTAATAAACATAAGGTATTTTTGCATTTAAAAATAATGGCACATGTAGTCACACGTAAATAAACAAAATTATGGTAGAATCACGCCTAGCGATCTTGCCCACATCTACGTATAGTAGGTAACGTTTTGTCCATGATAGAAGGTTAAAGAAATATTTCAAATCCCATGACTTTTTGTGGGCATTTAATGGTGAAACGGAAATTGATGAAACAGAATTTTCTGGCATTTTGTAACTGTAGATGGAAATTATTGGTATCGTACGCAGTAAAATTACACAAAAAAAATCAAAAGAAATTTTAGGTACATAAATTTTGCTCATTTTATTTGTGCTCACGTATATTGATCATTAATGGATAACCTGGTCATTTTTCGCATTCCTTTTTTAATATCAAAGCGAACAAAGTCTGTTACTTCTCGGTTATAGTAAAAGATTTCAATGCGCAATGAAACCGATACATCTTGTACTATTTCATAAGGATATCTTACCCGCGATTATTTCCAGCTTTGAATATCAAGATGATATCTTCAGATGTTTATTGGTACATTCCACTTGGACAGGGGTAATTAATCTATCAATTGACATCAAATGAGGATTCTTAAGTCAAATGTTAAAAAGTTCATACTCCCATCAGATAGTCATAAAAGTCTTATGGAAGGCTCCCACTTGGAGTTCCTATAGAGCCTACCAAAAGTTTTTAGGATCGGTGGCTGCGCCCACCGCCAGGTATCCCTATGGAACGTTTGTTGAAAGTTTAAAATTCTCCTCAAGCGCGTTTCAATATAACATTCAAAGTCTAGATTTAATCACCAATCGATGCCCAAATATCCAACATCTTACTTTCGATTGTATGAAATCGCCCAATAATTTTCCACCAGAAGTATTAGCAACGCTTTTATTAAGATTTCCGAACTTGGTATCGCTGAAAGGACCCAACACCGCATCAATACATTGGATCACAACGACGTTAGAGCCCATTAGGAAGGGAAATTGTCGGCACTTGAGATCTTTGACGTTACCTTGGGATTGGAGGGATCCTTTATTGGAGATGTTATTACAAGATATAGGGTCCCATTGTCTACAAATAACTTCATTGAACATTAACACCGATGTGTACGATCAAATTGCCAAGATCATTGCGCGTTCATTTCCAAATATAAAAATATTTAGCTGTCTCGCCGTGACGCATAAATCCCTTGGGATAATACTTCACGGCTGTCGATATTTGAGGTCGTTAAAATTACAATTTTCTCAAGACTTTAATGATGGCGAGGCTCTTGCCATAGCTGATTCATTTCCATTATTGAACTCTTTTGTGTTGACAAGATTTTGGACGAGTTTGCCAAAGTTTTTCAAAACGTGGGCACTGAATCAAAGATACCTACGTCACATCGAATTCTCTGACTGTAGTTCTCTGACACAAGAAATGTTTCAACCAATTGTGCAATCATGTATCAGTCTAGAATCGGTAAAATTGGGACATTGTCATCAGATAACTGATAGTTCGATCACTTTTCTTGCCAGGCATCGAGGTCGTTATTTAAAACGCCTCTCGCTTCATCATAACAATGGAGTTTCTGACATGGGGATTAATTCCATCGCTGAACATTGTAAAAATTTGAGAATTTTAAATTTATTTGAGTGCCCGAGAGTCACCACGAGTGCCATCATTAATATCATCACACAATGTAGATTGCTGATGGAATTATCGGGAAGTTACTCAGTAGTGATGACTGATCCGATAATTAAATGTTTGATAATTAATGGATCGCCGAAATTAGAAGTTTTGGGTAATAAATTTTTTGCTTTAAATAATTCCCGGGTGTTAAAAACGATCAACAGTAAATTGTTGTCCAAGTTGGGAAATCAAATGTCAACATTGAGGGTGTTGGAAATCCGATATCCGATCAAAGGAGTAAATCCGAATGTAGGTTGTTCCCTTTAATAAACGACAAGATTGACACGTTACTAAATGTTTTCATTGTCCCAACTCCAAACAGAAACTTATGAAATCGATCCTACGCTTTCCTCAATTGGAAAAATTGTGTATCGTCCCACCACCAAGACTCAAACGAAAGCACATTAGAATATTAGAATCGCATCCGAGGTTGAAGGAAGTTCGATTTTTGGCACATAACAACGCGAAGGTACTACAATACATTCATGATCGGGAACGGCAGGATAGGGCGGGCGTGCGTATTTCCATTGGGATAATTGATAGTGAAGAAGAAATGTGAACATCATTTGACCATATACAATACGTGATAATTTTTATGCAGAGGAGGGGAATTAAAAATATAAATACTGTAAATACTTTGAGACTAGGTTTCTTTTTAATTTAAAATTCCGTTCTGGGATACTTACTGTCTTGTAAGAAAACTTTATATAACTCCTATTTTTAAATCCTCCATCAAAAGCACGTCATCACATATTGTGAAGTAGCATCAACCATTCCTTTGTGTCTTTAATTGATTCCCGTGTAAATAAAAGAAATTATTTACAAAATCAATCACATTCTTATTAATGGATATATAAAAAAAAACAGGTATAAATAAACATGCTAATTTGGATGATAAACAATTACATTCTTCATTTCCTGGAAAACAAATATATATTCCTGTTCACTTACAAGATGATCAAGAAATTAAAATTCTTGGTAAACATGTTATAACATTGATTCAAATAAGATTTCTTATATTTTGATGTTTATATATACAATATGTATTCTTAATTATTTAAGCAAATTTAATAAAAAATATATATTACAATATATAATATATTTATATTTAAAAAAAAATTAAATAATAAAAACTTTTTTCAAATTTATATTACTGATTATTGCTTATTAAAAAATAATTTTTTGAATTTTTGAATTTTTTGATAAAAATTATTATTTTTTTTTATTTAAATATATAATTAACAACTTTAATTAATAATATATAAGTTTGCATTCACATAGATTATATACAGTATAAATATTAATTATCTTTATTATTTTACATATTCTATTTTAAAATTTAAAATATAGATATATATTAAATTAAAAACAAAGATTATTTAATTGATTTCAAGTTTATTTTTATCCAAAAAAAAAAAATTTAATTGCAGGTTTATTGATTTTAAAAATAATCAAATAAATAATATACTGTATATAGTATATATATAATTATAATTTATTGTTGTTAATTCAAATATGTATTTATTTATTTATAAAAAAAATTTTTAATTTTATAAATTAATTAAAAATTGGATTAATACATTGAATAAAATTATTTTTTTAAAAAAATAAATTATTTAAAAGCTGTGTGACTAATGTTTACTTGATATACAGTAAGTTCAAAAATTGACTTGCAAATTATTATTATTCAATTTAGAGCTTGGATATTTGAGATGTAAAAAATCTTTCTTGAGCTTGCAAGCTTGCATATAGACAATTTGTAACCATGCATAGCGGATTATCAGCAATGTGTTGTGTTACAATCCATTCGCAGATCCGGTGTCAGTAAAATCTCATTCGAGATTCCCTTGAGTAACCTTGTCCGTAGCTTAAACGAAAGCGAAAACACTCAATACTCTCTCCAAATAATTTAAATATACAGCGTAAACATTGTATGCAATTTTACTTAACCGGCGAAAAAAAATTTCTTTTTAACATCGAATTTTTTTTTTCAAACACTTGTATCCGATCCCCACATTCTTACAAATATGCGTATTTGAATATTTCGTCGAAATTTTCGGACTCGAAAAGATTCATTTGTTATATTGATCGTAGTTCCACACTTGCATGTGATTACAGTGCATGTACATAAGTATAAAATGCCGATTTTCGTAAACCAGTACAATTTATTTTATTAATCAAGCGTGTTTTTTTTCGATTCGTGAATCATCTTGAATTTTAGTGAAAATTCGAATTTTATGGAACCTATTTTTTAAACAATAAATTCTTCTTAATTTTCGAAAATTCTTTCTAATTATTGAAGTTTTTCATGCTTCTAAAATAACTTGAAAAACATTGGAGTCATTTATAGAACAACTTTGACAAGGTCATGTCCGATGATTTTGTTTTTCCAGAATGGGAAGAATCTTGCGTTTACGAACAAGACCTCTTGGACATAGAAAATGACTTGGATGGCCTACTGTTGAATAATGATGCATTGGATTCTCTGGATTCTCAATCGCTTGATGTCAGAGAAGAATCACGAAATCATGTCTCTACAAGATCAAATTTATGCTCGCTTCCTACTGAAATACTCCTGAGAATCTTTTATGAACTTATATTGTCCGAAAGTTCAAAACCCCCAAAGACCGCAATACTTTCATTGCCTTTGGTCTGTAAGATACTTTATCGGCTCTCGCATGATCGTGTCGTATGGGAAAAAGCCTTCATGTCAGAATATGATGTCTCCGCAAGAAAACGAAGGTTTGCTGCCTGCAACTTCAGGAAGCTTTACTACAGAAGATCTTCATTAAATGTGGAACAGATGGATGGATGTCTTTTTGCACTGGAGAATTGTCTGGTAAATCAATTGCCACAACACGAAACCTTGGATAACGTCTTGGACATTTTGACCTGTTTATGGGTGCTTGTCTCTGAGGATGGTAAGTGAACGTTATTGCCACGATGAATCGATACTTCAAATAAAATTCTCATCCTGCATTAAATTTTTTGTACACAGATGAAAGGAACTCATCGAAACTTAAATTTCTGCGTGCTCCCGAGTTTTGTGCCAGCGTGTTTCATTTATTGTACGCAGATTTAGATTTAATAAAAAGTCTTGCATGTATATGCATTGCTATCAAAATAATATCTATGATGTTGACTTATGGTGAGGCATGTTTCTTATAATTCGATGATAATTCGCGTACACACATATTAACCATTCACTCTATTATAGGCACATTTCCATGTGAAGAAATCGTGGAAAGTATGGCCTCAAAACTACGAGAACGTGTATTAAATTGGAACCCAAGCAAAGATGCCGTATTCCCCATGTTTTACTGTCATGCGCTTCATATCTATCTAAGGTGCATTGCAAAAGATGAAAAGAAACCAATGGACCCAGATTCTAGATTATTCGATTCGCGGAAATCGGACAAATGTTTGCTGGTTGATGTAAGAACACTGACGTTTACTAGTGATCATAATAAGTATTTAGTAATTTGTGAGACAAAAAAATTTCTATTACGCATTAGGTGTATTCTTCAAACAAGATTTTGTGGTGCCTTCGGAATGATGGATACGATTGGCCATATCGACCACCGAGGTATTGGACTGGTCTGTGCATGGATGGTGATATATTGATCGTTGAAAAGTTACTCCTTGGAGATATTAATTTCATGGAACTTCAAATAGTTGAAGAACACAATGAAGAGGAATTTAATGAAGACCTCGGGGATATAGGAAACGCCCATAGAGACACTACAAGTTGTTATCTTATAGATGGTACTCTGACAGATGATTCCGGAAAAACGTTCCACATTGAAGGAACTTCAATTCCAATTGATAAAGGCCGAAGGGTGAATTTCAACTATACAGACAATACGTTTAGGAAATGGAATTATTGTGGATTTTTGACAGCGTTTGGAATCATTGGTAGATATTGGTCTGATGGAACCAGAATTGAGAATGCTGGGTTTTTCTGGCTTTGGGAAGATACATGACATGATTGATGTCAATAGGAAAAATGGTTTGAATCAGTAGAGCCGCCGTTAGTTACTGAATAACATTTAATAAAAATTATAAAAAAATTCTCATTATCTTAAATTTCATAAATATATTTTTGTTTCTATTAAAAAATATACAGTATATATATACGGTGGTGGCGGATATAACTGAAATTTCTTTCATATTTAAAAATTGTATCATTAAATCTTTTCTATTATATTAGTAATAAAATTCAAAATAAATCTCTTACCATCCTTAAATAAAAAAAAAATTTTTTTTTAAATATTAATATAAATATACTGTATATAATTTTCTTTAAAATTATTTTTTTTATTTAATTTTCTTAATGAACTATTACATTTTCTAATAAAAGACAGATAAATTATTGGACTTTTAAATCTTGCAAAAGAATGTTTGTCAAGCAATTTGTTGTTTTTTTTTGTTTTTAAATATTAAACTTTATTTATAAAATATTTATTTGAAATTTATTTGAAAATATTAAGAAAAGGTTCTTAACTATGTACAAATATTCTAACCATTACTAAAAAAAAAGAAAATTTAATTATACAGTATATGGTTAATTAAAAAAAAATGTTTTTATAAAAATAATATAAGAGTTTAACTGTGTCCCTCAGTTATAATAATAAATCAAGTTTTTAACACAAGAAAAATAATTAAAATAAATAAAATAAATAGATTATTAAGAAAAAAATTTAATTGAAAGCTTTATTAAATTAAAATTTAAGTTCTTAACTATATTATATATATATATATTTTTTTTTCATAATTAAACAAGTATTTATTTATTATTATTTTTTTTGTCTCTAATTAGACTGCAAATGCAAACATTTATTAATCTTATAATCAAACAAGTATTTATGAAGTTTATTTAATCTTAATATAGAATACATATTGGTTTAATAACTTTTATATACAAACTTTTTAAATATAATACTTGAATATCTGTCTTAAATAAAACTATCTCTAAATATAATCTTAAAAATAAATAAAATTGCTTATTCTTATATACTTGCCTCAAAATATATTTTAAAGTTATTACCTACAGTTTATCATTACAATTTGTTTTTTCCTTTTTTTTTTTGATTTTGTTTTACAAGATTTTTTAAATTTCTTTATAAGTTTTTTTTCTTTTTTTTTGTTGTCTAATGGATTTGCTTAATTGGTTTTTTATTGTTGAAGCTTAAAAATAATAGGAAGTGGTTTTTAAATAATTTTTTTTTTTATAGTTTATTGATTTCTTTTTTCTTAAAAAAATCTTGTGATCTTAATAGTTATAATGATATTAATGACTTTATCTTTTTGTTTTTTTCTTTTTTTGATCTATGTTTATAGATTACTTGTGTTCTTGAACCTTTTTACATCTGAAATTTATATATATTATATGAAAACTTGCATTATATCTTGAATATCTTAATTAACAATTTGTATATATAAATATAAGAGATTTTTGCAATTTAAAAACTTGTTTTTCAGTTCAAGATATCTTTATTTTTTTATAAACTGATATTCAAATTAATTATTTCTTTAGTAGATTTTATATTTTTTTTTTTCATTGTTCTAAAAGTTAAGTAATTTTTTTGTCTTAATATATCAAAAATAAAATATTTGAAAATTTATATTTTTAAAAACTTTTCTTATAACAATATCCATATTTTTTCCTATAAACTTTGGTTTCTTTGCATATTAAAAGATAATCTAATATTTTCTTCTTTACTTTACAAAATATATATTTTGTATATCTATTGTAACTTGTCTTATTATATTTAAATATATTATTTAATATAAGAAATTTATTATAGATAAACTTGATTTTAAATATCTTGTCTTTTATTTGCTTAAATAAAATATTGAATATATTTCTTTCTTTATGATGTTTCCAAAATTCTTTTCAGTTAGTTTTTTCTGAATTTTTGATTTTCTCCTTCTATCTAACTTGAATTTTGCTTTGATGAATTTATTGAATTAGTATTTTTCTTTTATTTAAATCTCTAATAAATAATTTTATTAAGATATCTATTGAAATGTTATTTTAGAAGGGAACTGAAATTGAAAAGGTTTTGAATAATTTTTTTTAAGAAATTTCTTGTGTTTTTCTAACTGTCTTAACTAGTCAATCAATCTAATTGTTAATTATATCTTAATTATATACCTTGACTTTGATCAGTACTATATATATAATATAAATTATAGATTTAATTTCCAAAATTCTTAAAAATAATTGTATTATACTTCAATTATTTATATGTTTTAATAATAACTCAATTAATTGCATCAAATATTTGTATCAATGATATCAAGGATCTATAAATTTCAATAATATGTATAGTTAATATTATTTGAATTTCTTTTTTAAAGATTGTATATAATATATATATTCAAAGTTATCAATTAAGAATTTTTATTTTTTTTAATAGTATTTTTTAAATAAGAGTTTTTTAACTTCTGGTATATATTAATATAATTGGTATTGTCTGTTTAAATTTTTACTTTACTTTTATTTAATATTGTTAAAATTGCCAAGAAGATTATTATAAGTTTGGTTTTTATTAATGATAGCCAATTGTCTATTCTAGTTTTAAAGATTTTTTCTAAACAAGATCTCTTGGTTTGAAACCAGACTACACTTATTTTAACTATTTGATCTTGAGTTTTATCTACAAATCCATTAATATAGAATTGATATATTCTTTAATATTAACTATTTTTATTAAAAACCTATAGGTCTATAATATAATAATTAATACTTTACAGGTCAAATCACAAAATATCAGTTCAACCCCATGTAAGGACAGTTGAATATAATTAATATAATATCTAATACCATAACTTGTAAAAGTACTATTTTTTATAAGAAGCTATTTCACATGCTAATCCAGTAAGTATTGAAATTGTAATTTCTAGAAAAGATATTGTGACATAATGATTGTCCAGTTGGTGTTACAATGTTTATCAGAAGTTGTAAGATATATAAAGTGTCTGCTTTCAGTAAGATAACTTAATGATTATTTCCTTGTAATATCTGGTGTCTCTTTCTGCAAGTTTTCAAAAAAGCCTTATTCCAATCCAGTAATAGATCATTCTAACAATTACTTATCCCAAAAAGGTAACCAAAACAACAGTAAATATTAATAGTTGAAACAATCTATAAGCAGTAAGTTTGTAAAATAAGTTCTTTGAATGTTCTTGAATAGCTCTAGAAAGGTAGAAATTAAATAGTATATCCATCTGTAGATAATTAGGTTTAAAAGAATTTTTTTTGTAGAGATTCTATTTGCCTAATAGATACTACTTCCAGTTTTCTCTTTTTATACTTTTCCTTAATATATTTTTGATTAGAAATAGAACTTAGCATATAATAACAATACTAATAGAGCTTTAGCATATTAGCCTTAGCATATATAAATCTTCAGGTTTATAGTCAATAGCAACAAGTCAATATAGGATAAAATCTAATGTAATCTAGCAATATTTAAAATAATTCATAGGTAGTTTCTTCCTATAATACATGATATAAAACATATGTGAATTAAATAAATGAATACACAAATATGGTCCAGCTAGTTGAGTTAAAAAAATAAAAAAAAATAAAATAATAATAATAACTATTTTTATTAAGTTTATATTTTATATTTGATTTTTAATTTAATTTAAGAGTTTTGATATTTTTTTATATAATTTGAATTCTATAGTCAATTATCTCTATATTTGTAAATTTGAATATATTGAGTTTAGAATTTGTTTTAAATATGAAATCCAATCTGATTAGATTTTCAAATATGAGTTTCTATAAGAATATGTGATTTTTTACTTTTTCTTAACTTGGTGATCTTGTTAATCCAATTGAATAACAATAATAATTTATTTTTAAAGAGACTTGTTAAATTTGAATTTGTTTGAATAAGCTTTGTCAATTAATACTTATATTGGTTATTTGAAAAATATCTGTTTTTTATCTTATAAAATTGTTAATTTCTTTGTTTTTATATCAAATAAATTTATTTTTTTTCTCTAATTATATTTGTTATTTCTATTTTTTTGTATCTTGTTAAGATATTTGAGAAAAAAATATTTTTGTTTTAACATATCTATTCTCTGTTTTGTCAATTTGGATTAAGAACTTTAGATTTGTTAGTTATATATTCTTGAACTTTTATATACCAGTAAAGTTTGAATCTTTTATTATAATTGTACAAAGATTGAATAAGTTTTTAACTTAAGAAAGTATTAATTTCTGCTTCTATAAGTTGATTCACAAATATAATATTATGTTTTTTTTTTTTTTTTTTAAATTTCACAATCAGGTTGGTATTGTTTATGTAACAATCCTGTGCTGCGCCAAGAGACCCGGAGCGCCCCTGAGCGACCCAGACGACCTACAAGGCCGGGTATATTTGTCAAACGCATACA